AAAAGTGTTCACAGGTTGAGGAGCTCTGAGATGGTCTGGGAGTGAGTTCCACAGCCGGGGGGCAGCTGCACAGAAAGCTCGATCTCCCATAGTGCGGAGGTTGGTGTGCCGTTCCTTCAGCTTGTTAGTATTTCCCGAGCGGAGGCTGCGGGTGGCGGTTTGTGGTTCAATCAATTCCTTGAGGTAGGGGGGGGCATTTCCGTGGATACACTGGTGTGTTAACAGGGTGATTTTGAATTCTGTCCGGGAGGTGATGGGAAGCCAGTGCAGTGATTTGAGAATGGGGGTGATGTGCTCGTATTTGCGCACTCTCGTCAGGATCCTAGCAGCGCTGTTCTGTACGTATTGGAGCTTTTGAAGGCTCTTGCTAGGGATCCCGACGAGAAGTGCATTACAGTAGTCCAACCTGGAGGAGACAAAGGCGTGGACCAACTTTTCGGCGTCAGGAAGAGTGAGGGTGGGGCGGAGTTTAGCTATATTTCTAAGGTGGAAGAAGGATGTTTTGCAGAGACGTTAGGCTATAAAATAACTACATCACGGCCACTTGGATGCGCACCACCACTGCTAAGCTAAAGTAGGCTAATGTTCGGCATGATGACATTCAGTAGTCTCATTTAGTCACTTGTTGTTAGCAACCACCGCTTTTATGACATACTGTAGTGTAGAAGCTACATTCACCAGAGAATTATTTACTGACGTATTTTATGTCGCAGATCAAAACGTAAACATCTCTAAAGCTTTTGTTAACCACAGACCTTATTTAAGGCATCTAACCAAAAACATGTTAAAAGACTCACTTTAAGACTCATTCTTGCACCATTTTGTAAACATTGTTATATTTCTTCCACACTTCAAAGATTTATTTCACACATATTTTTTTTTAAATGGAAGGCCACACTCACTTGCGTGTTCGCTTCTGGACCCACTGCAGCAGTGTTTTGATGGCCTTGCTGTGTTCACGCATGGCCGCCGCCTGCCTCTCGCCTGACGGAGCGCTGCAGGACGTGTCGGAGTCAGAGCTGGTGGGGATGGACGACAGGCTGGAAGAGGAGGGGAACTGGCTCCTGATGTTCCCCGTGAGCTCTTTAATCTGGGAGGAGACAGAGTTGGAGTATATTCACATTAGTCAACTGTTTTATCAGTCAATTCAGCTGTTGGGTTAATAATCTGCTGCAGAGATTTGGCTGAATTGGATACTCAAGTGTTTCATGCTGACACTGTGTTTTACACAATTGTCTACTGAAAGGGTGGGATTAGCCAAGACTGACAAAAACAATCTTAGGTTTGAAGTAGAGTCTGGATTTATTAAAGTTACCATGGATGGAACATGTAATCCTTTGGACAGATGACCAACATAGTTACACAGGAATCTAAACTCTTAAAACACAGAGGATCTGTTCCGTGCTGATTCTGGTGTTAGTTTTATCAGTTTACTCAGCCTGGGAAAACAGTCATGTAATGTCTCAGGTAGCTTTCTAAAGTCTGAGAAAATAAAGTGTTGATGTCAGACTTGAACATTGAAACAGAAAAACACGAGATAAAGGAACATAGTTATGCAATAGTGCAATCAGCCAAATTAAAGTCATATGACCACTCACGACCACAGTGAAGGCATGGGTCAAACTTTCTATTCAAACAGTGTTGGCCTGGCATTGCCATCCAATTATATGTAAGCATCAATTGAATACCAAAACATATGTAGCTCCTGTAAAATATATATAGACTTGAATATGTAAGAAGTTTTATCAACAGTTAACAATATTTTATTATGTATGTACATATATTACAGCAGTTAGAAAGCAATATCTTGGCTAGCTACTGTAATAGAAATTAAGATAGTACACAAAACAATGATTTGTCTCAGTTGATGTGCAGCAGGTTGTAAAGGAAAGAGGGAGGACCTGAAACATTTTGAAATTGGTAGCAAAATCCAAGGTTTCTTTTCTAATTCTAAGTGATCATGTAGCTGTAAAAGAGTTATGCAAAGTATTGAATGATATTTATCCGTCTTCAGGCCTGGACACACCACAACGGCAACCATTTAAATCGCTATAAGGAGGCATTTTGACAACACTAATCTTTAAGGGGATGGAGAGATCAAAACTTAAAGGAAGATAGAGTAGCTCATAAACTTTGCAACAATATTTATCTTGCTAACTAATTAGCATAGAGAGCTTTATTTTTCTTCTTCAGTTACTTTTTATTGAACTAAGTGGTGTGCAAATGTGTGATTTAAATTAGATTAAACTGTCGGAGGAAATTAAACAGAACTGTGAAGAGAGATTTGAGGGAAACTTCTGAGCTATTGAAAGCGCTGCAAATGAAAGCTAGTAAGTGGGACTATTTCTCTCTAGCTACTGCTCCCAGTGTAAATGAAGAACTTCTAAGGTCCAGCTATGATTTCATTGGCAAGTTCAACATGGTCTAATTTATTGCTGTTAATGGACAAAGCAAGCTATTACTTGTGATAAAGACTATACTTTTACTCTAACAGTAGTTGTTACTTTTGGGTTGGTTCTAATTTGGAATGGTAATGTTACTCAGTTTTTCTGAGCAGACAAAGGCATTAGACTGGTGGTAAATACAGATTCTGGGGTTTGAGGAAACATTATTAAAATACTGTACATTTTTTTAAGGAGTAGCAAAATGATGATGTTCAGTAAGGCAAACAATTACAAAATGTCATTGGAGATAGATGACCTGCGTTCATATATAGTTAAATTAGAAGCTATAGAGGATCGATGTCCTCTCAGTCTAATGGTGGACGAGTGGCAGGCAGCAGCTAAAACTGAAACTTCCTTGGCTTGTCAGTATTTTATACTCTAATGCTGCGACTACAGTCACTATTTTGACTTTTAACGTCAAAAATGTCTTCTTTGATGAGTGATGTTAACCTTATTAGCACCATCATTTAGCTGTGAGGAAGTGTTTCCCACAGACGTACATTTCCGTCCTCTATGGAGGCTCGAAGCCACAGATATTTTCTTTTATCGTCCTTTGTTCGAAGTTTGGATCTTTTTGTTGTTTGATGTGCAATACATGACACAGCAGCCTTTTTTTAGTATGTTGACCATTATTTGTTTTCACCAGAAAATGGGTGGGGCTTCCATCTAAAATACAATTGTAGAATGTTAGGTTACAAAACTAGAATTCTCACAGATTTTATAACGTTGAATTACAAATGTGGAATTTCAAGTTACCTGTAGAATGTTACTTTATGTAGCCTATGGCAGCCTCTGTCTCTGTATGAAAGCGTGTGAATCCTGACTTGTATATGTGAAAGTGATTTAGGACTCTCAATGACTGGAGAAATGCTGTCTATTTACCTCTGTAATTCATTGAAGAGATCAGTGTATCCTGTACGTTACTGCCATACATCCCGCTCAGGAGTGTATGGAACCTCATACAGTTGCTCTGCTCCAGAATGAGCTGACAGTCTGTTTGAACTGCAGAGGTCATTTTTTCCTCATGATGCCGGTCCGAGGCATTGAAGTGCAGAGTGATTAAATAAACTACCCACAGAGCTGCACTTTGAAGGGCTATTGTGAATGGAAAGTGCAAAGGCTGTGAAGTAGACACTTGATTATTCTTCCTGTTGGCCTAATTCTAAAAAGAGAGGCAAGGGAAAGGAGGGGAAACGGAAACTCAGGACAGATAAGAGGAGGACAAGGTTTAGAAAATGAGATTACCTGGAAGAAGAGGATGATGTTCCAGATGAGTCCCAAGATGATGGAGGAGTTTCCATCAGCAACATCCGCTGCGTCGATACTGACCAGCTTCACCTGCGGACACACGTAAATATGTAGTGACAGCCAATCACAAGGCATGGTGCAGACATGTGTTCATGCTTCTTCTTGTGGTACTCACGTTCCTCTCCTCCAGGAAGGACAGGACCTTGGCGATGTTGTTGAGTCTGAAAATACGATGTGAGGACCTCTTGAACCTGTGAAGCTGGAGGATCATTGAGACAGAGATAACATATTACTGAATAGCATAACACCACTATGATTTACCAGAAGTCAAAATCACTGAAAGATCACTGCCCATCACCCTCGCTAAGCCGTTTTCAAATTCACCAGTGGGGTATTTACTGACGTATTTTATGTCGTAGGAAAAAACGTTTAAATGTGTTTATCAGATTTTCCATACAGCCTTATGAGTATTACACACTGTGCAGTTAAACACGTTAAAACAAAGTGAGAGATTCTGACCAGCTTGCAGCCGGAGATCTCCTCCAGCAGGGCCATGAGGATGTGTCCATCCTGAATGTCCCTGAACAGGTCGTTGACCTCGATGGGGGGGTCACACTGAGAGGGAAAGAAAATAGGAAGACAGTAATGTGATAAGTAGATCATCAATAAATGAATCGGATTCTATTTTGATCATTTTTATAATTCATCGTACATGACAGTAAAGTGAATATCTTTAACTTTTTTTGGCAAATAAGCCAATAATAAAAATAATTGTAGATTGCAGCCTGAGTGAGAATATAGGATGTATAATTAAATCATATACAAATTGATAATCTGACAGGTTTAGGCTACTGTCTGTTCAAATTTTTATCCCCATTTACACTTTATCAAAAAATGCAACCCAAAAACTGTAAAACCAACAAAGAGGCGTTCAACATGACACTTGGAACACAATACATGAAAGGAAAACATAGGAGAACATATGTATGTCTGTCACTCAGTAATAGCATATACTGGTGGCACATGTTCACACTGTGACATTTCAGGTAAACAGTGATCTATCATTCGTCGTCTTTGTAAAATCAGCCAGTCTGAGCCAACAGTTATTCCTGTTATCAGGGGGG